CATGCAGGCAAAATACCCATGCACGTATGAAAAAACAAATGAAAAAGAGTCAACCATGACATACCAACATGGGAGTCAGCAGTGACGTCCTTTTAAACCTGAGAATTGTGAGGATTAAAGACCAAATCCACAATTATCCAGTTAAAGCAAGATGTATATTGAGGTGCACCCTGGACTGGCCAGCTGACTGTCTCACCCTAAGTTGGTTGGAGAGAGAAGCTCCTGCTGGCCTCTTGAAGGCCCTTTTATAGGAGAGAGAAAGTGTTCACAGGGGTAAGAGAATTGGCCGCTGTACACTGTTAGAAAAACACAACAAAAGGGAAGGAAGAGGGTAAGGATATACAACATGTGAATAGGGTTGAAATTTTAGTGTAGGTTGAAAAACATGTTTTACAGTTTATATCAGATTTAAGAAACAGGGATTTATTCTTTAATTACAAATAGAACCCTTAGAAACCTTAGCTTGCAAGGACTTAACACAGTACGAACAGGAACTTATTCTTAACTGTCTTAACTGCAAACAGAAACCTTAACCTGCAAAGTATATTGTTCCTATTTTCGTCTCACTTTCCCCCCTTGAGTTGTAGCCTGAGCCAAATCCTTGACTCTGTAGTGGGTATCTGGTTATACTGGGATCTAATAACCATCATCAACTTAATGACACCAAGATGGGAATTTATCTATCTAATTAAGGCATTAAAGATGCAAGGGCCAACTGTTATTAGTAGAAACAGAAAGGTCAAAGACCCTGTGATGGCTGACATCAACTACTATCTAGGAGGAGCCCAAATGTGAGAATGAACACCAGTCATTCATTTCATCTTGGGTCCCCATTTTGCAATGTTTCTTTGAGTACAGCCTGATTATCTCTAATGATTCCTGAGTGGTTTGTATAGAGACAATAATTTTCTCTTAAAGCCATATAATACCTCCTTGTTCTACATAGAGCAGGTTGAGTGTCCCATCATACGATAGAACTGCTTCAGCTAATGAATCTACCTGTTAATAGATCTGGGCCTATTTAGTTTTAACAGGTACTTTTTTTATTATGGTTTTAGGCACTATAGGTAGCCATTTTATCCTCTAAGCCAGGAAGTTTGCTTTTTTTTTTTAAGATTTATTTATTTATTGTATACATTGTTCTGTCTGTACATATCCCCACAGGCCAGAAGAAGGCACCAGATCTCATTACAGATGGTTGTGAGCCACCATGTGGTTGCTGGGAATTGAACTCAGGACCTTTGGAAGAGCAAGAAGTGCTCTTAACCTCTGAGCCACCTCGCCAGCCCTGCTTTTTTTTTTAATTAAGACAATTTTTCATTCATTTTACACACCAGGGAGTTTCCTTTTGACCCAATATTCCAGCCTTTGATGACAAGGGGTGATGGACTCTCTTCTGTAACTACCTCCTGCTCTAACTAGGACTTCATTGTCAGGGCCCAGGAAAGCTGGAATGCTATTCAAAGACTTGGAGGGGATTCAGGCAATGGGGCATTCTTCAGAAGCATCTGGTTAGCTGACCCAGCTAAAGAGACAGGGAGCAATAACATTGGGTGGACTGGTTCACATCAGCTTTCTGCAAGTCCAGGGCTCACAGCAGTTTAGAGCAGTTTGTAGTCCACAGCTGACTCCGAGATGGCGTCTGTCACCCAGCTGAAATCTATTGGGGCAGATATGGACTAGGAACAGAAAAAGTTTAGGAATTTAACGGAAAATCTTCTATTTGGAAGTTTCAGGCCCATGGTCCTGATATAGTAATTGGGGGAGGAGAGGACTCCCCAGACCAGGGGAGAGAGAGAAAGAGAGATCACATCCTCAGGAATAGGGAGGTAGGGAAACTTAGGCTGTACGTATCTGGAGCCCATTTGACCTATGAGAGATGGATTCTTAATTCCCTGAAGCTTTCATGAATTTTTTTGTTTACAAAAAGAGAAGGAAGTTTTGGATATATTAGCATTACCACTGTTTGTAGTCTGTACTAAAATCCACATTGTAGACAAAGCAGCTAACAGTTGTCCGTAAGAAATCTCAGTAAAACAATAGCATAAAAGGAGAAAAGAAATCAGAAACATCTCCCTTTTTACACATACCTTAAATCACTTTTTTATATCCTCAGACCTTATTTAAGCTTTTATAGCCTCATGCCTTTATGCACCTTAGACCATTTCCTTAGACTTTCAGAAGTTGTATAGACTTTAAACCTCTTTCTATCTAATCATGTATCAGAGACATGAGTAGTTATTACTGAGAGCAGTCATTGTAAAGCAAGTTCTTTTAAATAAAGAAATAGTAAAAAGTTACATCTGAAACCTGTTTATCCTTTAATATGAAGCCTATTAGTAAGGCAAACCTGTCTGCCTTTCTCAGCAGGAGATCTAGCAGCTCTATAAAAACCATATCTGATTTTTACATATGAAATGAACTAGCAAGGCGGCTACAACCTTGGGGGAAGGAGCTGGTTACCTGCTGCTGTTAAGCTGACAAAGATACAGTTGGCCTAGCCATCAATGCCATCAATGCCATCAGAGATCTGAGAAGGATAAATTATAGCAGGAAGTATAATCCAAATGACCTATGTACCAATTAAAATGACAGAAACTTACCCATTATCTAGATGGTCACCCCAGATTCCTGTGGTCTCAATGACTTCCTTAGGGACAGAGGTCCCAGGGCAGAATTAATCATCAGCCCCCAGACCTGGGTGAGAGATTTTCTGAAATTTTTGTGGAGAGGAGGAACTTGGGAGACTGGCTTTACTTTGACTAGTCAAAGTAAGGCAATCAACTCTCCAGTGTCCTGCTTGTCCAAAGTTTGGGCTGGTCCCTGGCAGCAGGCAAGGCAATGGGGAAGTTTTTCCCAGTGGTTAGTATTGCCACAATCCAGGTGGAGTTACTGTGCCTCATCATCTTCTTTGGGGACCTAGGGGTCACCACTAGGAGCTAAAGTCTCTCTATCATAGCAAGCTTTTTCCATTAAACATTTTAAATGCCCTACTTAGCAGATCTCTGACAAGTTTGATGACCATTATCTATTAAGTATATCTGAGCTAAACAAACTTTGCTTGTTTTTATTTGTTTTAGGCTTAACCTTGAAAACACATAAAGGAGGCTAAATAAGGCTTATTTCTATGATTAATTACCCTAGTACTTAGTATGACTACAAGTATAGTTCTGAACACATTAAAGAGTCTGATCCTTTGTGAGGCCACTGACCACTAATTTGAATGTCTTAATTATCTTTAACAGTTTATAGTAAGTTATTAGCTTTTATAAGATTAGGGTCTTACACTTTTATCTCTGCTAAATTTGAGCCTTCAATTACTAAATCGAAGCTCCTTTTAGTATCAAAATAAAATTTCAAATCATGAATATAGTCCATAGGGAAACTGGCAACTTTATATTTTCCTGGTCCTTAAAGTTTATCAAAATAGCTAAAGCTTAACAAAGTTAGTGAAGACAAGGAGGCTAAGCATACACTCTTCAGTCAGTCTCCATTAGCTTGAACAGACCTTAGGTAAGGAGGGGCTCTTTGCCAGATTGCTTAGGTCATTGTCTTGCTGCATCATAAGAATATTCCAGTTACTAGTGTTTAATGTTTGTTGCTCATAGCTGTGGCCCCCAACTCTTTAGCCTTTTAGTTATTTTTTAAGATTATATATTTAATAATACAAAACATTTTTATAAACTTAAAATATCTCATGGCCTTATAAATTTAAATATTTTAAAGGCAAAAATATCAGAGTTTTTTATTTAAATTTTCTGTAGAACTCCAAAATTTCCTCTTAAAGTAATTTAAAATCTCTCTGTGTTCCTGCAATATCAAAATGTCAGACAAAGTAGAGTACCGGAAAAAAAAAAAAAACTGGGCGGTGGTGGCCCATGCCTTTAATCCCAACACTTGGGAGGCAGAGGCAATAGATCTCTCTGATTTTGAGGCCAGCCTGATCTACAGAGTGAGTTCCAGGACAGCCAAGACTGTTGCACAGAGAAACTCTGTCTCAAAAAACAAAAGCACAAACAAACAAAAAAGTAAAGTACCTCTTTTACTTCAAGAGGGAAGATACAGCGCACAGAGTAAAACCATGCTCTGACATTGCAAACAATTAATAGTCAATATCTGGGATTCATTCATAATCTCTGGGCTTCCCCAAGGGGCTCAGATCACCTCTCTGGGGCCACCCTCAGCAGCATACACAGCCTGCCTTCGAGGTCCCAGCCAGCTCCGTTTCACTGTGGCTGATGTTTCTGGTAACTCTCATATCACTGGCATTGCCGAAACTACTAGGGTTCCCCACTGCACCTGGACTCTCTTCAGGAACCCCAGATCTACCACACATTGGCAAGCCTCAGCTGCTCTCCATGACCTCTTTACACCTTCAAAACAAATACCACCTGGGTAACTCTTATGCTATAAAGCTTGGGGGCCAGTGCAAGGCACATTCTTGTATATGAACTCATGGAGGTACAGCTTTAAGTATCTTATTAAACAAGCATTGTTTTTTAAACCCTATCTGTCATAAACCTTGTTTTCAGGACAGGAATTAGCATACAAAAATCCATCCTAATCCAAAATATCTTGGAAACCTGTTGCTGCCTCCTTGGTTGGCCCACACTTCGTAGTAGCCTTTTAACCAAGGTTGTGGTAAAGTCACATGACATCTTCTCCAACCCTAGCAAAGATGGTTGCCAGCCCCATGGCTGCCTAAAGATGGTGGTGAAGTCACATGTTGCTTATATTCCAAGATGGTGTCACACCACATAGTTCCTTCAAGATTACCTATGCATGGATTTTTAACTATCAACCTTGTCTTATGAGTTTTAAGTTAATTTTTTGTTATGGATATTGTAGATTTTTAACCATACCCAATAAACTTAAAAATCTTGAGATAAGGTTTATATCTTAGCAAAAGCTTTAGGCAATTAAATGGAACCAATCTTTTTTTTTTTTAAGCTGTTCTGCTTTGCTCTCTTCTCTCCCTGTCACAGCATCAGATGGTTCTCCAGACCCGAGACATGGAGACTTTAAAATCATGCCTGGGTCTGAAAGGGGGAGAGCCATAACCCAATTCTAGAGCCAGCTTTTCAATAAAGTAGAACACCACAAAACAACTTTATTATCCACACCCAAAAGACATTTGAATCTTTATGAAATTGGGCCCGGTGGCTAGAAAACTCAAAGATAAACTCTGAGGCCCAGATGTCAAAGCAGCCGCGGTAGCAGTGAAAGTTCGCGAACTCGGAGGAGACCCGTCTGAACCAGAGTCTGCTGTCATCACGCATTCGGCTCAGCCTCACCCGTTGCTGCCTCGGCTCCATGTTCGCAACAAAACTTACAGTCGCATCAGAAAACGCAGGCCTCTCTAGACACATGAAACAGACAGACAAAACGTCCCCTTCTGTTAGATCCTGTGGGCAAGAGGTTACTATTGGAATTCTACAGAAGAGGCAACCAAGTTAGAACAACAGCAAGTTCAAGAGAACACGCTCCAGACCTTGATATATTTGGACCCGAGTAAGAATTTGGAGAGTTTTCTCGTTCCACTGCGATGGGGAATGTGAGACCAAAACAGGAATAATATATCTTACAGGTTAAGGGTTCTGTTCACAGTTAAGACAGTTATGAATATCTTCCTATTTGTTCTTTTCCAGGTTAAGGAGTCTATTTGAAGTTAAACAGTAGGTTCCTGTTTGTCCCATGTTAAGTCCCTGCAAGTTAAAGTTTCCAGGGTTTCTGTTTGTAGTTAAAGAATAAGTTCCTGTTTCTTAGATCTGACAAATTAGAAAACATGGTTTTCAACCTGCACTAAACTCACAATGACATTCAAACGATGTATTTCCTTACCCTTGTTCTTGCCTTCCATTGTATTTTTCTAACAAGGTATAACAGCCAACTCTCTCACCTTATCTCTCCTATAAAAAGGACATCAAGAAACCAGCAGGGGCTGCTCTTTCCAATCCCAACTTAGGGTGAGGCGAACACCCAAGTAATGCTCGAGGCTAGAGTTTGAGTCACAGCACTAATAAAAGTGAAGCAACCCAGGCTCTGAACTCTGCACAGCCTGGTGAGCACCTGCATTGTCCTGTGTCCTGTGCTCCAGCAGTTGTTCACTGTGGTGCCTTTGCTGCTGGAAACACTGAACAATGACACGTGAACTCAACTGCTGTTCAGAGGCCTGTGTTGCCACCATGACACTGCCATGATGGGTGGACTTGCACCTTAGTATTGGCCATCAGCACAAATCAGAAGCACTTGACACAGCCCTGACCCCTGCACTGCTGTTACTCAGCCTTGTCCCACAGCTCTGACCCCAACTCTTCCCACTCCTGCTCTTGGTCCTCATCAGCTCTGGAGAGGCAGTGGAGTCCAGGCAGAGGTTCTTCTCCACCAGGATAGATGAGTAGACAGGTTCAGAGAGGAGCAGACAGAACCCACTGAGTGTCACATGCAGAATATCAAAGCTATCCTGGCTCTGTTATTCATAGAGATTTTATTATAGATTCATGGGGGGGTGCTCAAGAGGAGACACACACACACACACACACACACACACACACACACACACACACACACACACACACCATTTGAATTAGACATGGATGTCAGCAACATGGCAGAAAAGCAGTAACTAGATGGGGATGGAACTTGGAAGAAGTGAAATAGCCCAATGTCCCACAGAAAGCGTGTTTGGGATCTTGCAAAAGAAAAAGACAGAAGAGAAAAAGTAAAAACCGGAGTGAGGAGTGATACACTTTTCTGGGTGAGGACACAAAAAGGTAGGCAGACATAACAGAGCCTCATGGCTGCTCCCAAGGAACCGCAACCCTGGTTTTTTAATAACTACAGCACCAAGAGATTGCCAAGCATGGTTCTACATGTGCATTGCACAGATAAAGGAACAGAGACCCTGAAGACATGAGTGATTTGGCAAAGGTCACCCAGCTAGTGACAGGTAGAACCAACTCCAGGGTCTGGCCACTTGCCTCTTGGTGAGGCAGAATCTGCCACGTGTACCACATGTTAACATGTGAGTTCAAGCAAATGGCTGTACCTCTGTTCTAACCAAAAATGTTCCTGCTGCTCAGAGCTGGGCTTACTCCACAGTGGTCATGGGACAACCCCAGAGGAAAGCATGAAGGAAAAGTCAAACTCTCCAGGTTTCATTCTGAACTAGGTGGACCCACGGACCTGAAGGAGAAGATGGCCAGCTTTGAGAAAGGAGAAGCCAGCAGATCCACAGCTCTCACAACCAGGGACTCCTTCACTGGCCCCTAGCTGACAATGCCTCATTAATGGACCTTGTGAGAATTGGCTCATTTGGTAGGATGAGTACTTCAAAAAGTTTTCAGGTTTTGGATCTGGAGAAGGAAGTAACAATTACCATGACAAGCAGTGAGAGGATATGGCCAGGGAAAGGGGCTGACAGGTGTCTCCAGAGAATGTCATCCCATCCACTCAGTTCTTCATACCTTTTCCTGTTTAGGACACCTTTGATGAGAATTCACATGAGACAGAAACATCGAAACATTCTTTCCCATTTCTGAGAAGGCTACTCACAGACCTCTCTACACTCACTCTACACCATTTTACTATTCTATTCCATGGATGTTCATGATCATGTAACCAACCCATGGGCCACAATGCTCTCATCAATATAGACTCTTACCTAGAAGACATTTCCCCTTCCAAACCAAAGGAACAACAAATGTGTGGACAGTGCTCCATCCCTTGAAAGGATTTCCCCTCACTGTTGTCTTCAGGTACATCCCGGAAACAGGACGCTCCACAGTCCACTTTCAGGTGGGACAGGCATGCCACTCAAAACCACATGTGACCAGCATGAGTTTGCTACTCCTCAGGCTCAGGCTGTGGAGGGGATCTAGCAAGAGCAGACCACTTGGGTCACTTCCTCATATAACCTACTTGTGCCTTCATGGACTGCTAGAGCTGTCTGTGGGTGCACACTGATGTTTGACAGTACATGTCCGCTAAGCATGCCAGCCTTGTGACCCAGTACGTGAGATAACACCTGGTTCACTGTGAGCATTTAGGCCACGTGGCAGTTTGGAGGCTTGTGGCTCCTGTATCAGAAGACTTTCTTTTGTTAAGATGCCAGCAAACCCTACCCCCATTCAATGCGCCTCTCTCACAGTCCTAGTTCCCACCTTACTGAGACTGCCAAGTGGATCCCAACGTTCAATAGAAAGGGCAAAGTGTTCAGAAGAGGCCAGACCATCTTGAAGACGAAGAAAGAGGGAGGACTTCTGCCTGCCAATTTCAAAACCCACCACACGGCTATAGAAACCGGGAAGTCATGATATCGGCTATAAACACTGCCATGTAAGCTAGCAGACTAGAACTGACAGTTCAGATACAAGCCTTTGGTTTTAGTCGTGGACATACAGATCATTCAATGAAGGAAGTTCGTTTAAAAGGAAATCTAGTCTCAGCCTAATGGTTCTAATGGCTGTACCTCTGTTCTAACCAAAAATGTTCCTGCTGCTCAGAGCTGGGCTTACTCCACAATGGTCATGGGACAACCTCAGATGACATCCGCTCACTGCTTGTCATGGTTACTTCCTTCTCCAAATCCAAAACCTGAAAACTTTTTGAAGTACTCATCTTACCAAATGAGCCAGTTCTCACATGGTCCATTAATGAGGCATTGTCAGCTAGGGGCCAGTGAAGGAGTCCCTGGTTGTGAGAGCTGTGGATCTGCTGGCTTCTCCTTTCTCAAAGCTTGCCATCTTCTCCTTCAGGTCTGTGGGTCCACCTAGTTCAGGATGAAACCTGGAGAGTCTGACTTTTCCTTCTGTAGAATTCAAAGCTGTATCCAAAGGCCTTGTGTATCTTAAGTTTTAGTTTGTATTTTTGAGACAAGAGTCCTAGTATGTAGCCCAAGCTGTCCTCAAGTTCAGAATACTGCCCCCTCAGGCTCCCACGTTTGGTATCACAGACATACACCAGTACACTGGCTGGGCTCTTCAGTCCCTTCCAGCCTCTGCCATGTCTCCTGTGTTCTTTTCTATGCCCATGTTCTCATGTGTCCTAAGATCATACGTTTTTACCTATGGAAATCATTTCATATTCATTTTTATGTCCTGTAATTCAAAATTATAAAGAATTCTTCATGGTGTTAAATGTTTTTTAGATGTTTCTTTGAAATAATCAACAAATACCAATTTTTAAAAAGTAAATTAAACTTGCCAACATCAAGAATGAAAAATGGAACAATATCACAGATCTTTCGGTCATTTAAAGATGAGCTAAATGCTACAAAAAGCTGTAGGTGGAGGCTGGGGAGATGGCTCAGTGGTTAAGAACACTGACTGCTCTTCCAGAGGATCCAGGTTCAATTCTCAGTACCACATGGCAGCTCACAACTGTCTGTAACTCTGGTCCCAGGGGATCCAGCACCCTCGCACAGGCATACATGCAGGCAAAACACCAATGCACACAAAATAAAGTTTTGTTAGAAGCTTTAGCTGTTAAGTTGGGCAGTGTAAATGAAAGAGAAAGGTGTCCTCACAAAACAGGGATGCTTGGCTCAATCTGGGAAGAGGGGACTGGACCTGCCTGGACTGAGTCTATCAGGTCGATCTCAGTCCTCGGGAGAGGCCTTGATCTGGAGGTGGTGGGAATGGGGGGTGGGCTGGAGGGAAGGGGAGGGGTGCAGGAAGGGGGAGAACAAGGGAATCTGTGGCTGTTATGTAGAACTGAACAGTATTGTAAAATAAAATAAAATAAAATAAAATAAAATAAAATAAAATAAAATAAAATAAAATAAAATAAAATAAAATAAAAAACACGACTCACTAAAACTGACACCCATGGAAGAGAAGTCAGAAGAGCCCAGGGCCACCTTTAAAATGAAACTGTAAGTTTAAACTTTCCTAAAAACAAAACTTATTGGTACTTTAGTAAATTCTTCCAATACTTAAAGAAAAAGAAAAAAACCTGTTCATTATAACACATTTTCCAAAGAATAGGGGAAAAAATGAAAACAATTCATTCCATGTAACAAAATAAGTTTGATATCAGAAAGTGACAAGAACATTACAAAAAAATACATAATTATTCATATGAGCTTTGTTGGAAAACTAGAAAACACAATATTAGAAAGTTAAACTATGGGCTAGAGAGATGGTTCTGTGGTTAAGAGCCCTGGCTGCTCTTCCAGAGGACCCGGGTTCAATTCTTAGCACCCACATGGTGGCTCACAACCATCTGTAAGTCTGTTTACAGGACATTTGATGCTCTCTTGATGTGACAACAATTGTCTCTCGTCAAAGAAAGAGGACAGCAAATGTTTCGATGAATTCCCTCTCCACAGGAGTTCTTACCCAGTGAAATAAAGCAATA